CCAGAATGATAAACAACACACTTAAACCTAATCTCCATGACCTAATCAACCTACATATAATATCAGAAGTACTAAGCAAGTTAGGTATAGAAGAAATTTAACATTTTTTGAATCGTATTTGTGCAAGTTCGTACCTTAGGGTTTTCTGTCCAAACGAGTGAAATAATGAAGTTATTCTTCTTCATTCTTCTATAATGAACTTCGTCTCCAAAGAAGCGTTGTTGTCGTACCTTAGGGTTTTCTTGTTGTCGTAAATGTCATTATCTAAACTTCGTCTTCAAACTAGTGTTGTCGTAAACGTCGTCTTCAATGAACTTCGTCTTCAAACTAGTGTTCTTCTTTACAATGTAGTTGTTGTCTGAACCTGAGCTTTCATCCAACAATGTCTACATGCCCTAACATGTTTCATCTCCTTAAAATGAATGTTATGTGTAATACAAAATCCACCTCATCCATTAAAATAATTATAGAATATTCACCTAAGCCATTTAAAGTCCAACAGTGCAATTTCTAACGTTTTCCCAATCCAAACTAACAGAAAGGACTACTATACGTAACAGAGTATAAGTTAGTGGACCATAATGTAACGTTTTTTTCTTAAGGGACCAAAGCGAAACAAACACTAGAGTTAAGGGACTAAAATAAGTATTAAGCCATATATATATATATATATATATATATATATATATATATATATATATATATATATATATATATATATATATATATATATATATATATATATATATATATATATATATATATATATATATATATATATATATATATATATATATATATATATATATATATATATATATATATATATATATATATATATATATATATATATATATATATATATATATATATATATATATATATATATATATATATATATATATATATATATATATATATATATATATATATATATATATATATATATATATATATATATATATATATATATATATATATATATATATATATATATATATATATATATATATATATATATATATATATATATATATATATATATATATATATATATATATATATATATATATATATATATATATATATATATATATATATATATATATATATATATATATATATATATATATATATATATATATATATTATGTTTCACTTTAATTTTTAATATGATTTATTTTTATTTTCATTTTAATGTAGATTAGTATTAAACTTGTTACTTTCTTCTAAACAAAAACAATTTAAATTGCATAACAACAAGAATTTGCTTATTTAAAAAATTCTTTTTTAAATTTGATATAGGTAAATTATTTTTTAGTTTTGGTCTTCATGAATATATTTTTGTTTATATGTGAGCCAAAACATAATATCAATTATTAATAATTTTTTATTTTTAGATGAAAAATTCTTTTGGTGTCACCCAATAAAGAGAATTGGAAATTAGATCTTCTCTCATACAACCTAAAAAAACTCCTATTAATAGTGTGAGAAATTCTAAAAAAGATCAATATCAACCTGCATCTAATAGCATTTCTCTTATTATTGGTGATGTTGAGGCTTATTAATTGACCAAAGATGGCAAAAGAAAACTGACGTCGTTTGTTTGGAATCAGTTCAAAAGAAAAATAATTAATGAAGAGGGAAAATGTGTGTGTAATTATTGCAACAAAGCTTTGACAAGTAGAATAAATGATGGAACTAAGCATTTGAGTAAACATTTTGATGCTTGTAAAAGAACGACATATAAAGATATAAGACAATTAATCTTTGTGAGAGAACATAAAAGGTAGATGGGTCATCTAGTTATCTGAGTAACTACGATTTTGATCCAGAGAAATCAAGAAAAGACCTTACTTTTATAATAATAATTCATCAGTATTCACTTTCAATAGTTGATCATTTGGGGTTTAAAGTATATTCAGAAGGTCTTCAACCTTTGTTCAAAGTTCTTAGTTGAAATACAGTTAAAAGTGATATTATAAAAAATATATGAAAATGAAAAGTTGAAAATTATGGGACTTTTAGATAGGATTGAGAGTAAAATTGCTTTAACGTCAAATGTGTGGACTACTAGCAACCAAAAGAAAGGGCATATGACCATTTCAACTCACTGCATTGATGATGATTGGGATATGCAAAGTTTATTATAAGGCATAATATTTATAAGATTTTTGTTAACTTTATCTTACATGTAGAATTTTAAAGTGCATTAATATCTAATAAATGATATTGCATACTAGGTTTATGTATGTAGAATGTCCACATACAGCTGAAATCATCTCAAGCAAGTTGTTTGAATGTATAATGGCTTGGAATATTGATAGAAAGTTGCCAACCATTATTTTGGATAATTGTAACACTAATGACTATGTTGTTGGTCTATTGCTAAACAAGCTTGGTAGTTATACTCTTATGCTTGAGGGTCATTTATTTCATATGAGATGTTTCTATCATATTTTAAATTTAATTGCTCAAGATGGTTTGAGTGTTCTTGGAGATGGAATAGAGAAGGTTAGAAATAATGTGGCTTTTTGGACAATCACACCTAAGAGAGAACAAACTTTTAGAGAAGAAGCACGCCAAATAAAAGTTTCAATCACAAAAAAAATTAATTCTTGATTGCAAAACTAGATGAAATTCTACTTATCACATGCTTGTTGTTTCATTGACTTATAAGGATGTTTTTGTTCGTTTGAAAACAAGAGAGAATTTATATACATCTTTGCCTACAACAAGTGAGTGGAAAACTGCAAAAAAAAATTTGTAATAGATTAGAAGTCTTTAATTGTGTAACTGAGATGTTTTTAGCTACACAATATCCCACAACAAACATATCTTTTCCATTAGTTTGTGAAATAAAACTATCTTTGAAGAAGTGAGAGACTTGCACTATTGAGACAATTAAAAATATGTCTTAAAAAATGATAGGTAAGTTGAACAAATATTTGTTGGTTATTCATGGAAGCGAAAGACTTGCGCTACTGAATGACTCTCTCTCTTTCACACACACACATATATATATATATATATATATATATATATATATATATATATATATATATATATATATATATATATATATATATATATATATATATATATAACATTTAGCATAACATTTTATTTTATAGAATTTGTGTGACAATTTTAAAAATCTATACTTTTGAAGCATTTTTACAGGAGCAATTTAATGAAATTATAATTAAAAATAGCAGTGGTGGTATTTTTAATGCAACGAAAGTGTTTTCCATAAAACAACGAAAGTGTTTTCCATGAAAAAAAAAAAAAGGAGAAAAGATGATTGAAATTCTATTTCTTATAATTATAAACAGTTTTATTTTTAGATTTAAAATCTCAGTCATTGATGTTTATTTTTCCACATGTCAACCATCCATTTAAACAATAGGATAGAAACTGGATTCTAAGAACTGGAGTGGATCCAAACTCGTAGAAATACTACTTCTCATTGACACTGCCCCCAGCTAATCATCACTGAAATGTGAAAAGAGAGGCATTTGACTGAGAACGCTTGACAGAGGCGGTTGCTTCACTTACCTCACCGTCTTTCTCCGCCGTGTCTCCTCCTTGCAACGACGCAACCTACCTTCATTGTCTAATACATCGTTAGTCCAAGTTCGTCGTCGAATAGTTATATTCGGTACGTTTCTTAAAATTCCATGCCCAAATTTCTAGGGTTTGTTTCATTTATCTTTGGTTGAGCTTTCAATTGTCCAATTTTAGTTCCACAGAAAAATTAAATTGTTCTCAAGGTTTTATATATGAATTGTATCGTGTATCTATAAGAGTTTTCGCTCCATTCATGGATTTTCAATTTTTCTCCTCTTTATGGTAGAACTTAATGCTGCAATTAGTTACAAATTCATAAAGTGTTGGTAGAACTATAAGAGTTTGCATTGTGTTTGATTCGTTTTTACAATTATTAGCTATAACCTCCTTGACAGTATTCACCTGGAGTGGAGTCTAATTGCGGGAATCACCTTCTAGGACACTATGCTTGACTCTCACCGCTACCCCTAGCGCATTAAGAGTTGTTGCGCCTTACAAATTTGACATTTGAACAAATAATTATGAGTAAACACTCAATTGAGGTCTCTTACATGGTTTTAAATTGCGGTTGTAGATGCGATTGTGGGTGTTGCGATTGCTGTCATTGCAGTGGCCGCAATGCACATTGCGGCTGTTGGGAGGTGTTTGAAATACACCGTTTAAGAACACTTGATGTTAAGATTTTTCATTACATAGGGAGTAAATTGAGCTTTGGGATTTTGAGTTTTGATAAAAATACTTGAAGAAATATGGGGCAAAATTGTCTTATGTGATTTCTATAGGCGACTGGATGCATGGTTTTAATTCACACTGCAATTGTGGTCCGAAGCAGTTGCAGAGGCTACTGCATCAGCAATATTGCGGCTGCAATTGTGGTTGCAGACTGAAATTTAAAACCATGGTCTCTCACATTGGGTACTAGTAATCCTATCAAGTATCAACATGGTCTCCTACTTTATCGATATTCCAAAATAGTATCCAACTTATCAAAACCTGGATCAAGTTAGTCCCCCCTATGTTAGTTTCGGTTGAAATGATTGTGTCACGTTTAGTGACACACCGGCACTGATGGACCATTTTGACATTTGAAATATATCTAAAGCAAAGAATTGAACTGATTCTAGTGACAAAAATCAGAGCATTGGATATTTACTCAATCTGTTAATCATCATATACTATATGACATGAAATGCTACTTGTAAACAAAAGCAGTGAAAATTAACAGGAATATCTTGAAAACTTAAATATAACATACCCTACTTTAGTTATAAACTAAGCACTAATCTTTTTCTAGCATTATTATAACTTATCTTTGGTTAATCGGGCAGGAGTTACCATATCTGTAGCAGAAAGAGGAGTTTGACAGGTTGCAGAGAAGAAATTAGAAAGAAGAGTCAGTTTATTTGTGCTACAACACAGGGCTGTTGGTGATGGGAAGCAGCAGACAAGGAGAAATTGTGGTTGGCAAAGAAGAGGTTATCGCTAAACTCAAGGATGATGGCGACTTCGACAAGCTTCGTTTAAAGATCATTCGTAAGCTCAAGGACAATGTACACTTGACTTCAAATTCCCTATTTATATGAAATTTCAAATTTGTACTTCTTCTGATGTAATCTATATCTAACCAGGCTATGAATATGGTAATAATATTCTAAATCAGACTTGCGATAGATTTGAAATAATTTGTTATTGAGTTTTTGTGGCTTTGTGTAATGGACCATTTGATTTCTGAGTTTGTGGATTGATCTCACCTAATTAGAAAGGATCAATGTTCTGCTACGCGTCGTTGGATTACTGTTTTTAGGGAGAAAGAGGGGGTGTACCCGTAAGACACTCCGATGCTTAAGTGAGTAAATGATCAGAGAGAGAGCAAGTACTGAGGAATATGTGTAGAGAATAAGATATCTGACTCTCTAGTGAAAGAGGATACTTATAGAGAGACTCCAGCGCAAGGCCAACGATTACATTGCATTGGGCCAGACTGTTAGGCCTAACCCAAGTAACTGACAGGGCTTACGTGGCGTAGTGAAGACCAGTACGTAGTCTTCGCCCTAGATCAACTGTCCCGTGATGTTCGGAAGGTGGGCTGACCAACTCTTTCGGAGGTGGGTAGTTGCCTGATGACGTGTCTTCACGTGGAGGAGCACGTGGAGAACGTGGGGGAAGCGCGTGAGCCTCCCCGTCAAGGGAGTCGTCTGCCCGACATATGTGCCTTATTGAGACTTGTGCCCGACAAAGGAGAATTGGGCCTTGTTGGGCCTCGCCAGCGTAGCGCTGGGTTGGGCCTGCCCGACTGAGGGCCAGGTCCGGGCCCAGTCTAGAACAGGGATTTTCTAATTTAAAAAATATCAAAGATTAATCTGAATTTGACAATTCATGACAGGAGGAGCTACGACAACATATTATTTCAATCGTGAAACGGTCAGAGGCGCTCAATCGTGCTGGCGCAGAAAATATGAAACCTAGACAGCTTTCTGATGTCATATATGAAGAAGTTGGGTAAGTTTTTCCCGCACCTAATGTCTTTGTAAATTGCATTTCCACATTTGTACTCTTACTTCTTGATGCTCTTACTGAAATTACATTTTGTTTTCTACCATTGTGACTCTTCGTACCTTCCTTCGAAGTAGTTGGGTTGTGTCAGTTGAGGTTATGTGGGAGCTGTATTTTTATTTTCCTTCTAATCATTTTTTTCAGTGAGAATGTAATGAGCCACATATCCGATAGTTTATGGCAAATAATCAGATCAGATGACGGCATGAAAGGTGAAATCAAGGAAACAGTGCAATCTGTCTACGATAAGCTGGCAAACCCCAAAGGAAAAGATGAAGTTCTGTTATCAACATCTGATGCAATGCCAGATCAGACTCAGGGTGAAACAGCTTCAGCTACTGAGAATGATGACTCTTTGCATGAAAATGAGCCGCAAGAGCCGCCAGGTTTCACTCTTGTACTGAATCATCCGAATAATAACAACCACGAGGATCAGGATAAAGGGAAGGCACAAGTTCAGAGGCAAGGATCGACTGCAGAGTGCAGGGAAGATTCCCACCTGTCACAGGATACACTTGTTGAAGATGATCATAACATTTCACCTCCTGGGTTTTCAAAAGACACTGAGCATAGTCCCGTAGCTGATTGTAGTGATGAAGACCCTGATGTACCGCCTGGTTTTGGTTGACGAATTGGAAGGTGATTTTTTTCACAATTATTATGATGATTTTGAGAGTTAATGGTTTTGCATACACAAATTAGCTTTTGAAAATTTTAGCTCTTAACAAATAATGAATTGACACATATTATTTTTGAATCTAACCTATGTTTATTAACTTTATCATTATTTATTTTTTTCATTTGACACTTTTCTAAAGAAGTGTCTCCTCTCAGTAAACAACAAATTGCGATTCAAGGATCCTTAATCATGATAGATTAAGAGCAATACGTTCCCAATAATTAACACTCGAAGAAGAAAACAACACGGTTAGCTAGCAAACTAAACCCCAAGGCCTAATAACACTTACATGGATTGATTTTTCGTTCCACTTGTATTATGCCACATCATATATATTCTAACGCATTGTCTTTGATTGATTATCATAAATTTATAATCTGTTGCCATGAATTTTCTTGTGATACACGTTGACAGATATTGCAAATCAAAATTGGTCACCAACTTATACTTGTGGCAAACCAAATAATGTTTTTGATAGATAAATAAATTAATATTATTAATCCATGGAAATAATGAAATGTCTATTTGTTATAATTTAGTACTTATAGAGATTGACACATTGGATGCCACAACATATAAGGAAAAAGTAGAGGACCCAAGGACTATAAGGCATCATCTTTTAATGTTTACTAAAAAGCAGAGTCAAACTAACTCGTTTGATAGCGTAATTTGGTTTAGACACGACAACATAACCAGTATTTGGAGAGACTCCCCAAATCTGTTTCATTTATTTTATTACTTAGGTTATTACAGTATTTAATTTTAATAAACTGCGTGTTTATGATTTAATAAAAACTGTATAATTTAACGTTAAAACGATAATGTTATGGTTATTTTAGGATAAAAAACTAATATCACAGTGGAAATGACTCTAAGGGACAAAATAGTTTTAAAGAATAAGAAGATTTAATATTCTTTTTTACTCTTGTATTTTAATATTGGAGTTAATTTTGGTCCCTTAATTTTAAAAAAGTCTAGATAGGTCTCAACTCTTCAAAATATTTTATATTAATTATTTTTGTTTAATTAGCGAATTTAGCGATTTTTTTTGTCGTTAATAAAACAAAAAAGATTAATATATAATATTTTAAAGAGTTAAGGGACCGATATATATATATATTTTTTTTTAAATTAAAGGACAATTTTTTTTAAATTAAAAGATTAAAATAACCTCGAAATTAAGATACGAGACAGGATATTTTCCTTAATAAAAATAATAATATATATGTTTATAAAAAATACAATTCTTTTATCGCCTCTAAATGCATGATTTTATTGGCAAAAATACTTTAATTATAAAAGTTTTAACATAATATTATTTTAATATTTAATAAGTTTGCAAGTTACTTGAGAATTTTATTTATAAATGGTAGGTAAATGTATAATAAACTTAAAGGTATATTAAGATGGTGGAGATCTAATATTTCAACCTCTTATATAGGGCCAACTTCTTCTTGGCGTTGCTGAATATGAATGACGTTATTCTCTAGAGTTCGATTCTGACAACGAAGGTCATCAATGGCAACACATATATCTGCTACTGAGCTTTTTCCGTTGTCGGATTTTCCATTAGCCAAAGTTATTGTCTTTTTGCCCATCATGATGGTAAAGTGGATGAAGTTGGGATAGCAATTTGGACACGTGTTATAATGGTGGCCTAGGTCACTTTTATCGGACTCCGCAGTTGGTGCCAATTGTACTTTCTAAAAGTACAATATGTGACAACCCCGGTGATTAATGATTGTCAGGGGCTTTAGGATTTATTGTAGGGTTTAGAGTTAGCTCACGTAGGAAGGTGAGAAACTTCATGTACCAAGTATTTGTGTGAATATGAGATTGTCTCTCAACATTTGGTTTAAGGTATTTATAGGAACCTTTGGGCTTGGATTCCAAAGGCATAAAAAGTAGTAACTACCTCTTAAAGAACGTGGAAGAGAACACTTAATCTCTTATTACTAAGGAGAGCGTGATTGATTTTCCCTTTGACTTCTTTCGCACTGTTGTGGACAAGGGACATATCTTTTCTCATGTTTTACTGTTTCAATTGAGTTATCCCAAAGGTGAGCAACGAATTTGAAAAGGGGTTTCATATCTAGTAAAATGGCGGCGATTGATCTAACATACGAGCGATCAGGAAAGCATTGAGGGCAAGATGTTGCATCATGTACTTCCCACGTCGCCCCTTGTGAGTTCTTCAAAATATATCAACACAAGTTTAATTCTAAACAATTCATACTCACATGTCAATGCATTCATTCTATTCCTTTTTACTTTGGTTGTACCTTCATGGGTGACTTGAAGTGTGTCCCACATTTCTTTTGCACAATTACAATGAGAAGCAGGAAAACACTCATCAATACCGAGCGCGACAATGATAATAGTTTTAGCTTTCAAGTTGTACCACACATTTTCTTTATCCTTTTGATCCAAAGATCTTTAGGTTTGTTTTCCACAACACCGTCAACTTGATGTTTGGGCACAAAAGGACCATTTTTTTACAATGATCCAAATATCACAATCCATCTCATCTATAAAGATTTCCATCATATCTTTTCAATAAGCATGCCCCTCTCCATTAAAAGATTAGGGTTTTTTTAGTGAATAGTTTAAAGTCATCCAACCTCTTGAGACGTTTTATCTTATAACAAGAGTTAGACTTTGATTTCACTTGTTGACCAAGTGACTGCAGACATAAGAGGGAGTGAGTTGTGTTATTTGGTTATAAAAAACTTTTTCGCAAAAAAAAGAAAGACTTTAAGAAAGACTTTTTTCGCAAAAATGAAATAATCCATGGACTATGGTCACTCTCTAATCGATTAGCCTATGTCGCTAATTGAATAGACCTAGAAACTACGGAACAATTAAGGAAGGTTCGCTCCCTAATCGATTAAAAGGGTTCCTATTTGATTATGTGACAAGTTTACTCCGTAACGATCAAATACAAGTTGTAGTAGATTAAAAAGCGAGATTCTGCATTCCCAATTAGTATACGATTCTTCCTAATCGATTAGTCAGAGGGCTAGAAGCAATTTTTAGAAAAGGTTTTGAAATAGATGAAATTTTGTAAAACATTTGTGTGTGTGTGTGTGTGTGTGTGTGTTTGCTTTGTTTTAGTACCTTGAGAGACACTCTAAATTACACACTATTGATTCAAAATAGATAAAAATAAAATAAAGCACACGATCAGGAAAACTTTCACAATTTCAGCTCCTTTTGATGTTGATCTTTGCATTTGACTATTTTTTTTCTCTGAACACTTGAACCTTCATAGCTTCGCTTTTTGAACTTCTACATTGATGGTGCTCATGATTATTTTAGTTTTGTTGTTTTGTCATCATCAAAGCCACATATGATAATATTATAAGTAACACATAGAATCACAACCCTTATTGGAGATGACGCTTATGAGACCCAACCTCCCTTGTCAACGCCTTTGATAGAAAGAAACAAAAATACCTAGCGTAGGCGTGATACTCAGACCCCCAACAAAAAAATCTAAAAACACCTTGATGAAAATTCAATTGATTGAATGGAGTTGAGAGAAGGCAACAATGATGTTTTAAAAAATTAAGGACCTAAATAATCATTTTTAAAATTACAAAACTAAAGTGACTTCAAATACATGCTACGAGGATAAAAAAAACTAAAATTTTTATAAATGTATAAAGTTTTTCATATCCTATAAGTGTTACTATATCTTTTAAAATCTAAATTTTAAATTTTAATAGTTAAAAAAAATTAATTCATTAAAATTTTTATGATGTTTTAAAATCTGCAATTCTTAAAATAAAGTTTATCTTTTTTAAAGTTCTAATATAATATATATCACAATTCTATATTTTATTGTTAAAGATTTAAATAATGCTTACTAGAAAATTATTGGGTTAATATTTATTTCTCTCTGCCATATAAGGCGAATTGGAAAACCTTCTATGTAAAAAAAAGACAGATTTCCTCCTTGCCCTTTTTAGATTCCCCTATTTTAACCCTTAAATAAATTTGCTCCGCCGAATCTATGATGTGACATAGACTCAATGACATTTATTTTATTTTTTATTTAAATAATTTTCCATGTAGCATGACGCATATTAATTTATATTTGTTTTTATTTGTATTATATTTTTCAAATGAATAAAACTTGAAATTAAATCATAATGAAAAATTAAACATAATTAACTTTTGCACATGTCTTTCCATATAGTCTCATGAGACAATTTCATAACAAAAGTCGTTGTCTTCTCCCCCTCCATGAAATATGAGCTTAAAATTTTTGGGTTTTTCATAGTTGTCATCGTCATTTACATATCATTCTTAATACTCGTCTCATAATGGTTGGAAGCTCTAGTTCACGTGTTGGCAATTTCAATGGGAGAAAACTCCGTTTTGTGGACACGAGTTACCCATGAAGATTTAGATTTCTAAATCCAACACAAACCTAGGAAGAAGATATTGGAAGTGCGAATTCTGAGGGATTTGTTAAAGTTATTTATTGCTTTCAGTCGTATTAATTCCTAGTTCCTATTTCTTTCCCTTAACAATTTCTATGTGTAAATGTATTTTTCCCAAAATGATGATGATTGCCAAATGTTTCATTGGGATGACGATTTTTTAAAAAAACAAGTGGAATCAAGGTCTGATACTAGGTGTTACCAATGTGAAAGACTGAAGTTAACTTGAAGAAATATGGTGCACAGTTTGACACAGAATGTCATCATGAGTTTGGGAAGGCACTAACAAAAAGATTGAGAAAATCAAGCAGAAGACTTCAAATGATATGAAGGAAATTATTGCACTCACTTTCATTCTCGTTGTATCTTGGATTTTTTGTTGTAATATACAAGTATATGTAACATGGTGGAGCCAACACTAATGTGAATCAATGACTTGTGTTCTGGACTGGGCCAAGACCTGCCCCACAGACGGGCAGGCACAATCTAATGCTACGTTGA